ACCACGGGACTCAGTCCTGAAACACACAACTGGAGACCTGGCACAGAACCCATGCCTGAATGTCCACAGGATGCAGATGTCTGATATGAAAGTTAACTCTGACAAGAGAGGCTTTATCCATTTTTTCTATTATTGATTTATTGAAAATAGTTTTTTTCTCACATAGTATATAACCTGGCTATGATTTCCCCTCCCTCTGCTCCTCCCAGTTGCCCCCACCCCTCTCCCATCTGGATCCACCCTCTTTCTGTCTCTCATTAGAAAACAAACAGGCCTCTAAAGGTTTAATAAAATATAGTTATATATTATAACTATAGTTATATATATATTTTATAACTATATATTGTATATAGTTATATATATAGTTATATAGTTATATATAGTATAATATAGTATATATATGTTATATATAATAATATATATAGTTATAATATAGTATCACACATAAATGCTGTGATACAATGAAACAAAAATTAACCCATCAGAATTGGTCAAAACAGACAGAAGGAAAAGATTCCAAGATAAGAGATAAGCACAGAGTAACAGAGACCCGTTTATTCTCGCTCTCGGGAATCCCATTTTATATATATATTTATTTTTATTTATGTATTTTTTATTCTGTCTTTTTGCTCTTCAGGCCCTTTGTGTATATATAATGGCTTATACACAAAGGGCCTGAAGAGCAAAAAGACAGAATAAAAAATACATAAATAAAAATAAATATATATATAAAATGGGATTCCCGAGAGCGAGAATAAACGGGTCTCTGTTACTCTGTGCTTATCTCTTATCTTGGAATCTTTTCCTTCTGTCTGAGAAGCTCCACCGATGCCACTGAGTTCACCTTCTGCTGGCCGCCTACTGCTCGGCCATGCAGCAGATGGCTTAAGAGTAGTGTGTTTCCCAGTAGGACTTCCCTGGAGGAAACGAAGCTTTCGCGTGAAAGTGGTTGTCCATTTGAGATGGCTTCTGGGCTAGGGATGGGTCTGTGTCCACTTCTTTCAGCTGTAGGACCCTCACCTGGAGCAGACTGTGCAGGCCCTGTGAACGCTGGGAGACCTGACCTTGTAGGAAGATGTGTATAGCACAAATGCGGCCCTATGTGAACCCCCCCCCCCGCCACCCCCCCCCCCCCCCCCTCCCCCCCCCCCCCCCTCAGTATCCCCATCCTCAGCATCCTCATCAGTATCCTCATCCTCAACATCCTCTTCAGCATTTCCATCCTCAGCATCCTCTTCAGTATCCCCATCCTCACCATCCTCATCAGTATCCCCATCCTCAGCATCCTCATCAGTATCTCCATCCTCAGCATCCTCATCAGTATCCCCATCCTCAGCATCCTCATCAGTATCCTCATCCTCAACATCCTCTTCAGCATCCTCATCCTCAGCATCCTCTTCAGTATCCCCATCCTCAGCATCCTCATCAGTATCCCCATCCTCAGCATCCTCATCAGTATCCCCATCCTCAGCCTCCTCTTCAGTATCCTCATCAGTATCCCCATCCTCAGCATCCTCATCAGTATCCCCACCCTCAGCATCCTCCTCCTGATTGATGGAGGGTCTCACCATGGCAGTAAAAAGAAATCAGCTGAGCTGGCGGAAGAAGATGTCCTTCCTCTGTTGCACGAAGGAGGAAAAGATGTGTCCCATGACTCTGTCATTTCCACGTCCTCCACCACACACCCGGAGAAGCCTCTGGTGACAGAAGGGAACAGGTAGGAGGACACAGGGCAAACGAGAACCAAGTTTCTACTGTGTGAGAGGTTTGCCAGTCCCTGGGACTGTTTCATTCAGCTTTTCAGTAAAATAAGAAAGGCAAACTTTATCTCAGTGCTGGGAACAAGTTGCAAACAGGAAGCACGAATAACTATCACTATTAAACCCTCAGCCCTGCGCTGACACACCCAGGGAACCCCTCTAAAGGCAGAGCAGGCGTGATGGCTGCCGTACAGGGAGCCCTTTACCCTTAGCTTAGGAGCATGGCAAGCTAGGAAGAGGGTTTTAAGATTCAGCCCAAACCTGGTTGATGACCATCTTGCTTGTCAGGACACCCCCAAATCGACCGCGTCATTTCTGACCTAAAGTTTGCCACAGTAATTGACGAACTAAAGAGTGATGAGGAGATGCTCGCTAGAAACCGAGCATCTTAGAAAACAGCCCGGCATCCGTTCTCAGCCTCACAACTCTTTAATTCCTGCAAATTCTCAGCCGATAATAAAAGTAAAATTATAGAGTTTAAAGAAGGCACCGTCAAGCCCTGCTCAGGAGATTTATGAGAAGAAATGAAAGCATGGTGAGAGACTCTTGCCTTGCCTGGTCTTGGGTCATGTGCATGAGTAATTGCTAATGTCATTCATTCTCCTGGTAGCTCACTGCCGCCTACATTCCACATATGAGGAGACTGGAATCTAGAGATTCCACAGCTACATCAGGGCCAGGTCGCTGCCTGTCAACCCTTTGCTCTTCAGACACTTCCCCTAGTCTGTGTCCTCCAACAGTCCTGTTCCTAAAAGGCCGGTCTGACGCCCCCATTTGTGTGGTTTATAAACTATTTCCCAGACTTCTTTCTTTTTGAGCTTCCCATCTCTGACAGAGCCCTCCACTTGGGGTCTTCCAACCCACAGTTCAGGGGTTGTCAGTTTTTCCTCTTTTCCATATTTTAAAGATGTACTTTATTTTAAATTAGGTGTGTGTATCTGTGTCTTTCTGTCTGTCTGTCTGTGAGTGTGTGTGTGGTGGGATGGGCATGAGTTAGTGCAGGTGCCTGCTGAGTCCAGAAGAGGGTGTCAGGTCCCCTGGAGCCAGAGTGAAGGTTGTGAGGGTCTCTCCAAGAGTATACCCACTTACCTGCACCATCTCTCTAGTACTAAGTTCTGATTTTCCATTCTGTCGAAGCCAGTAAATGACAAGGTCTGGTCAGTATAAATCTTGCGTATTTTCTTCGTCTCCTTAATTCTGGCCATGTATTTGTCATAGCTGTGACAAGAATACCCAGCAAAAGTAACCGAAGGCAATAGTTTATTTTGTCTTCTATTTCGTGGCGGTACAGTCCACCATGATGAAGAAGGGTTGGCAGCTGGTCACATTGTTGACCATCAGGATGTAGAGAGTGGACAGGAAGGGCAGCCAGACAATACATCCATCCTGTGATCACTTCCTCCAGTGATGTTCCACCCCTAAAAAGTTTCCAACCTTCCTAAACAGCACCAGCATCTGGGGACCACCAAGTCACACACACACACACACACACACACACACACACACACACAC